CAAGCATGGTAAGGCAGAATCTATTTCCATTGTTAGAAGTTAGGAATACTGTAACCAAATATGAGAGGCCAGGAAAAGAAAAATAGGTGGTAGCCGCTGGGGATGTTCTTAAAGTTTGAAACTTTGCTTGATTAGAGGAATTGGCATCTTTTTTTTTTCTTAAGGAAACTTGCTGATCTTCACTGCTCAGTCCTCCTTAGCTAAAGGTTTAATTTCAGGGACTGGCAGTCTCCCAAATTCAGGATCAAACAATTTGTTCTCTGAACAGGCAGTTCTCTGTGTTGGATTTAAGTCATTCTTAGGAGGCTGACAGCTGCTGACTCTGAAACTCCAGGCTTGAGAGTCTGCCTAGTTCTCCTCTTTAGCTTCAAAATCAGAGAGTCCATATTTGAAGGAACTATTCGTTGCTACTGAGTCAGTCACAGTAAATGACAGGCACATGGGCCAGTACAGCTGTAGTTGCAGCTGAACAATGGGATGGAAGGAAATGATTTGAAAAGAGCAGACAGCCAATGAGCCAGTGAGATGTGCTATTCTGTGATATCAATGGGGCTGCAGGGAAAGAAGGAAAAGCCCTTGAAACATTGAGGCAACTGTTATGATGTGCTCTAGTGGAATCTGCTGAGAAGAGTAAGGAAGGATTTGTTGCACATCAGCTGTGCCTGTAGTTGTATAAAATACTGTAAGTCCAAATTTATTTGGATTTTGGGATGTTGCTTCATCTAAAACTTGGAACAACCAAAACATTCTAGGTATTGTTTCTAATGAATGATGATCAACCCAAAATGGTTTATGAGAACATTTAACATATAATGTGTTCTTCCTTAAATGCCTTGTGTATGTCACATTTGTGACATACACAATCTTCGTGCAATGCATGTACAGTATATAATTGCTGCTTCATTTTAATGGGAGTAACTATCCATTCACAGATAACGTAAGTTCTAAAATCCTCTGATGCTCAATTAACCTAATCCCAAGAAATCCAATGTTTCATGTAAAATTCCCAATTTGAAAATGAATTCACGAGTCATCAGCAGCCTGTGAAAGCAGCTGAGAACCACATCTCTTTCTATTTTACCTTTTCCTTAGCATTTCTGATATATCATACTCCCTTGCAATGAGTGTCCATTTTGACTGAAAGGATCTTGATTTCGATTTCTACTATAATTAATTAATCAATACGGTTTTGTGTTTTGGACTGTGAGGAGCTCTGAATGGTACAAATTAGGTTGCCAGCTAAATGAGAATTCAGATACATTCTAATGAAAGCAGGATAAAATGGTCTGTCTGGGATTCAAGGTGCATTTTCCATTTCATGCACACTCATAATCAGAACAATTAAACAATTATCAATATTTCACTGTGAAAGCTGGACATTAGTAAAAGGAAGAAAATAGATGCCCTCAAATAACAGTTTTGGAGATGGTTGCTGAAAGTATCAGAGATCATTAGAAGAATCAATTCTGGGCAAAAAAAAAAAAAAACAAGCTGCAAGCAGAATATTGTATACTTTTAAGCATGTGATGTAAAGAGATGATTATGTTTGACTAGACCAAGGAAAATACAAGGAGTAGAAGACAATGGTGGATGTATTGAATCAAAGAAGCTAGTACAGTGGTTCTCAACCTTTTTAATGCCGCGACCCCCCCAACCGGTCGTAAGTCGAGGACTACTCAACTGGTCGTAAGTCGAGGACTACTCAACTGGTGCAGCACCGTTTGCAGAATGGGACTTTTGGCGGGCTCAGCAGGGCAGAGACAGCCTGGACAATTCCTATTGGCTTTTGAAAGCCAATAGAATTAGACTCTATTCAAGAGAGTCTATTCTATTGGCTTTCAAAAGCCAATAGAATAAAAGGGAATAGCACAGCTAAGGAAAAGGGGGGAAAAATGGTGGACTGCATTGTTTGACGACCCCCATGAAATGGTCGTTCGACCCCAAATGGGGTCCCGACCCACAGGTTGAAAACCACTGAGCTAGTAGAATATCCTTGGAAGGCCATTTGATAGTTACAAAATCAAAATGGCAATGCATTTATCTTAAAGGTCACCTAGAATCAAACTTGACTCAATAGCACTTAAATGATTATGTGTGGATAGCTGTTACAGTGTGGCAAGACAAGTGTGACCTTGGGGATATTAAGACTATTCCTAGTAAATTCTTCAAGAAAATTCAGATAGTTTTTATTAAAAGATTACCTAATTTTTAAAAAAAGAGGCTGGTGGTCTGGTTTCTTTAATGCTCAAGACCTACACATAACACTTGATTTGCCACTTTTTGTTTTCAGCTGAGATATTTTTATGTAACCAGGCATTTTAATCTACATTAATTGTTCAGTCTGTCTAACAATTCTTTTTCTTGATTAAAAAATAAGAACTGTTCACAAACAAGGAAAAAATAGTTTATCTACCTCAGTTTATTTTATTTTATTTTATTTTATTTAAAGCCAGTATTTTGTTAAGTAGAAACAGATTAGGCTTTCCCATGCGTTGGGAAAAGGAACTTGCTCCAGGGGGCATCAAATGAGAAGAAAATATGGGATTTATATATATCGGTGCTAGGATGAAGGACCTGCTTTGCACTTTAGGCAATAAAGTGATTTGAGTCTATACACAGAAGATCTGCAAGTCTCCAGCTAAACACTCAGCTCTACCACTATGCATTTGGCAATGAATTCCCAAATGCAGAAGCAGTTTGAAAAATTGACCTTATATATTATTGATCCTGCTCTGTGTATTTTTTAAACAGCTGCTTTAATTTGGTGATTTTGCGCACAAAAAAGGTGCCTTTTGTACTTTTCAGTAGATAGAAAAATGTCTTCAACTGACAAAGTAGTCAAATGCCAGAAACTGAACATTGGACCTGTTTATGATTTATAAATTACTCAGGGACCAGGGGTGGGGATGTAAAATCTGAGTCTGTAAATATGTTAGGCACACAGCTTAAATTTTTTCACCAGGTATAAATGATAACAGAGAAAGAAATTATACTTTTAATGAAAGGAATGGTTTATTTTTGACTCTTCAACTAAAAAAACAACTCAATAATGAGAAGACGGGCACCCTTCTGGCAAAGCCAAGTTTTGGCTGACTGATTGCTGCATTATGTATGAGAAATTGCATATCTCGGGAAGGAACATTTGCTGATTTGTCAAAAACACAAACATGAGCGCCTGCTCATCTTCTTGACATATTAGTTCATCCAACAGAAAACACTGTCACACATTTTTAATTGATGAGTACACTTTCTTATGAATCAGGCAGCTTGCTTTGGTTACTATTATTGTTTTATTGTGTTTTATTGTTATTAAGCATTTATCTACCCAGGAGCAAAGTACAAAGAATTAGCAATCATTCCTAAAAACAGAACTCCAAAAACAGCTATTTTCTGGAAGGAGATATAAGGGAGTTTTTTAAAGAAATAAATAAAGTAAAAAGGCTAAAATCTAATATCATTTTTATTTGCAATTAATAAAAAGCAGAAGCTAACTTCTGGTAATATTCCAAAGACACGTATTTTTTTAAGAATCATAATAATAATTCTTTAAATAGCAATATTCTGGAAGGGCATACTCTTGCAGACATAAGAATCCAGATAAAATTCCAGATTAATTCTGTTTCCAAAAATCTTACTATTTTTATGTTTATATATAATTAAATACCACGCATTTACATTAAAAAATTCATATAATCATGCTTTTATATTCTGCAACTATACAGTTTGCTAAGGCTCAGGATTTAAGCTGCCACAAACATGACAATAGAATAAGTATCTAAACATGGTGGATGTCCCATAAGGACCTTCCATATTTATATCATCAGATACAAATTTATATTAAGACAGATTTTGAAATATAATATGTACTAGACACCAATTGCTATACAAATTTGTTGATTTAAACCTTATACTCAACCATGCACATACACAATTTTATTTGAAACTTTGACTACAATAGTAAAACCTAACAAAACTAAGAGAAAGAAAAAAGAATGAAAAGAAAGAATAAAAACTTCAGGAAAAAAAGAAAATAAAGAAAAAGAAGAATATAATAAAAGAAATATATATAGAAAAATCTCTTTAAATTTCCATTAATACATGTACAGGTAGACCTTGACTTATGACCAGTCACTTAACAACCAGTTGATGTTAAGGCAGACATCCCCAAGCTGCTTATAATCCATGCCCAAAACTATGGCCACTGCAGCTCCCCAGCTGTTATTTATCCCTGTGACCAGCCTGATCACTGCAGCAGCTATAACTTTAGGACTGGGCCTCATACCCTCCTCACACTGTGTCACCCATCAAGCACTTCAAAGATCTCCAGAGCTTCGGAGGTCAGGTTAGGGAACAAAAACAAACTGCATAGTTGCTGGGCCACATGGTACAATCCTGGAAGTGTTCACCATTTTCTGAGTGGCCACAATTCAATACAACTATCCTAAAAATGCTGGCTGCTTCTGGCTTTGCACCACCTAGCAATGAAGCAGCCTTTCCTTTTTCTCTAACCCAACTTCCAGAGTTCTGGTAATCTTCAAGAAGTAAGTGTGTGATCGGTGACATGGGGTGAGGATAGTGCGGGGCCTGGTAGGATAGGAACCAGTTCCAAGACCTGTGGAGTCCCTGAGGAGTGGACAGTAGAGCACAGGATGCCTCAGAGGGTATGGCTTCCCCTGGGGCCCAAGAACAAACCCTGTGTTCTACATAATAACCCACATGTTTGTTTAATGATTGCATTGGGGAGGAGAAAGATGGGAGATCATAAGTAATGTGCTCCTGTGTACCCTTAATTGCTGTAACAGGTTCCCTTATGGTCAGATGCTTGATCTTTGCCTCAGTCAGCAGCTCTGCATTCTTAGAACCATCTTCAGTTTACCATACCTCCCCTGAAAGCCCCTTCAACTCACCATATTTCAAGAATGTATTGATTTATTCTGGTCTTTTATTGGTGTATGGATTTTATTTGTGTGCATTGCTGATTTTGTTTTTGTTTTCCACAGGCACTGGGCAGCTTTTACTTTCTACATGAATCCTTGAAAAATATTTACCAATTCGACTTTAAAGGTAAGGAACACCAACAGTGCTTCAATCCTATACATATTCAATATGGAAGTGACTTCCATTGACTCGAGTGATGCTCTTGACTAAAAGTATTTGGAGGGTTATATTATTCATTTTTCATGTTAAAGGAAACATTCTCGTTAGAATTTTAAGAGCTTTCATACATTGAAAACAAGAAATGTGAGTTTGTGTGATGAAATGTGCCCCTGCATGAACTAAGGGAGAGAGCTTTGGCAACACTGAGTTAGATTAAGAGTCTGTGCAGAACCGAGCTGGAAGGAGGAGGGGGGGGGTAGAGGTTCAGGGTAGCATATCCTAGAATCTCTCAGGATATATTTAGTAGGCTAGAAAGTTATAGCTTTATTTTACTAAGATTCTGTCCGCCAAGGATAAGCAAATCAAGGAATGAACTCAATTGGACTTTACTGTGTCATCTCTGGGCTTCAGCACAACAGTTTGCCACTTATGTAGACTTGACAGCCCTAGCCAATCTTAGTTTTCTGCTCAGGATATTTTGAGTGCTTAGATCATTTCATAGGCCAATTTGATACAGCATTCAAAGTATTGGATTTATGTTAGTCATCAGCCATGGAAGTTCATTGGATGATTTATATTTTTTAGGGGCTGTATTGCCCTTAGATTTCTTTTTATTACTGCTGCTTAATGTTCACTGACTTACTTTATTCACCAGAAAAAGGATGGCAGTGGCAATATTATTAAAGCACAATTAATTGTACATTTGATCTAGAACCCTGGTGGCTCAGTGGTTAGAATGCAGTTTTGCAGGCCTAACTCTGCCCATAAACTGCAGCTCAATCCTGAAGGGCTCAAGGTTGACCTAGCCTTCCATCCTTACGAGATTGGTAAAATGAGAACCCAGATTGTTGGGGGCAATATGCTGAGATTGTAAACAATCCAGAGAGTGCTATAGTAAAGGACTGTGTGGCAATATATAAATCTAAGTGCTACTGCTATTGCTATCTACCATAGAATGAAGAATTCTGGCAAAAACATTTGCATTTGGTCAAATTATTTTTTCACTCTAATTTATTATGTAGTTTTTCTGAGAACCTCCACATAGTATTTATGGTTTCTCCTTCTTTAATGGCGGCACAGTGACTCAGCAATTAAGATGCTGGGCTCATCAGCTGGAAAGCTGGCAGCTTAGGTTTGAGATCTGAGCACCACGCAACAGGGTGAGCTTCCGTCCTCCGCCCACCTCCTATCAACTTAGCAGTTCGAAAGCATAAAGTACAAATGCAAGTAGATAAATAGGTACCACTTCGATGGGAGGGTAAAAGTGGTCATGTGGTCATGTTGGCCATATGACCACAGAATCGTCTTCAGATAGCGTTGACTCAGTGGCTTTGAAACGGAGATGAGCAAACACCTCATAGACTGCAACGATTAGCGGAGTAAAATCTGCAGGGATTCCTTTACTTTTTACCTTCTTCAATAATTGCATTCCTATGAAGTTGATAGAAAATTAACTAAAGACGATCATGCTTTGAGGAAAGAACTATTACTTACCTGACATGCAAAAATTTGCACCTTTCATTTTTGGCATATGGATCAAATAGATCATGTAGTAGATAATAGAGGCTTTTTCTTGATTTTCTTTAAACATTAAAACTTACAAACTGTAAAAGTTACAGTGTTGCCAATGTGTTTCAAGGTTGAGTCACATATTTCTGGCACTCCAATTCTGACCATGACAACATGCCAGCTCTTGAAATCAAAGAAGCAAATGTTAACAAAACTTGCATTTTGTTTGTCTTTTACATATACACAGCATAGTCACATCTTTTGTATGTTAGTATGATAGCTTAAATAATGTTTTTTCCAATATTTGGAATAACTTTGTTTTGAAAACTGTGATTTGATAAATGACTACTCTAATTTCAGTATAAAAATGTCCACATTCATTCTATATCTTTGTACCACATTACATCATTGAAATTGTAGGTGAAATAATTGTTTCAATTATTCATTTTCATTATTATTTTTCTTATTCAAAATGATACCCTTCTTATTTTGTGGGGGTGAGGTTATTAAAGAATAGTGGTTCTGTAAGCGTAGCCTTTCAAAGCATTCAACTGAATATTTATAGAGGCATCTTAATTTGTTTTCTTGGATGTTTGTTATTACTTACCAGTTTCTTAAATTCCTATATTTATTTACCTTATACTGGGCATATTAAAACTGATAACATTCTTAATTCTCTTATTCCTTCTCAGCTAAGAAATACAAAAAAGTTACGGGCAAAGAGATCTATTCAGATACATTAGAAAGTACACCTATGCTGGAAAAAGAAAAGTTCCCACAGGATTATTTCCCTGAGGTAAATATAGAGAAATAGTAATATTTCAAAATGAAGCATGTGATTGTAATTTTAATTGCTTTATTTATTTAATTGGAATCATTTTTGAATCCAGATCTAAAGTATAGTTCTATCAATAATTTTTCTTTTATTTTATTTACTAAAAGCTTTTTGAGCCTCTTTGGGGAGAATTTTTATCTTTTATATATTTTATCTCTTATATATCTTATATATTTCTATTAGAAATCACCCATTTTCCTCACAGAGCACCCCTGGGTGTTATCACTGAGTCAAAATGCAAAGGCACTGGAGTTGTTTTCAAAACCTGCCAAGGCTCATATTGAGTATGATCTCCAAATGACCTATTTTCAAAATGTCTAGATCTCTGAAGGTCAAACCATCATGTTAAACTGTGTTTTGAACTTTAAAATTATTTTAAAATAAGCAACTATTGTAACTGGAAGAAAATTTATATCATATGCTCAGACCTTTTGGCTAACACATTCTGAACCCAGGTATTTCTGACTCTGTCAATTCAAAACATATTACAGTATCCTAATCTAGCTATAATAATATGTGTCATTGAATTATGATTCAACCAAGCCAGCCAAATATAGTTAATCAATTGGGAAGGATATTTGGCATGATGGTGAATGATCTGGCTTTCTGATCCAGGGGCTATGTTTGTTTGTTTGTTTGTTTTTTCCATTATCAAACACTTTATCTAGATTAATGCAAATGCAAATATATACATAAGAAATAAATTAATAAATGTATTTGTGGCCAATCAATACAGCTTTCAATAGGACTAAATTACATTGTGTATGAGACTGCTGCATTGAAGAATAATGTCAGAATTTATGCAAACTGCACATTTTACATTCTTACCTGAAAGCAAAATGATTTTCAACTTTGCATTACTACACTGTTGACACCATCTTTTAATGTACCGTTTATGTTCTTTTAGGGGGTGCATTGCCCTTAGTTTAAAACAGATTTCTTTTTATTAGTGTTGCTTAAGGGTGATCTAAAATTAATTACAATGATTGAGTCATAATGCAATTCAAAATAATTACAGCCCACTATGTATAAAAGTAACAAAACTTTCTCTGCTGATTTATTGCTTTTCTCGGCTGTGCATGAGTCTCAAATGATGCCTCTGGGAGTAACACTCCAGATAATGTTAGGTCATTTTTAAAAAAGCAGATTTGTGTAGTCTATCAGGATTGAGTAATTTTCCCCCCATCCATAGTGAGAAATTGGTTGTTATCATATATCACAGATACTGCTCAAAGCTCTTGTGAAAGATGAATTAATTTCACTAATGCTTTAATGCAAACCTTTCATGGTAAAGGCTGTATGGTGATAACCTTACTGCAGTCTCTCCTTTCTCAATGATGATTTATGTTATCTTTTAGTAGATGAAACTGCCTGTATTCACAATCTGTCTCCTGACTAAAGGAATCTTATTAACAGGAAAACTGGAAAGTGACTTAATGCTGTATAAGGTGAAAGATGTTGAACTCATTTCTTGTGGCAGAAAAGAAGCCATATTCTAAAATCTAGATAACATATTATTAATGGTAACAGATAATCTTGCAGCATTTTGATATTGAATGCTTACTTGCAAGATGGTTTTGATTTCCTGAGGAAAATCACTACTTGAAAGTGTCTAGTCAGAACAAGTACCGTAATACCTGAGTATTGTTTTGATGTATTTGTTAGGGATATTCTTTGAATGAGGAAAGAATTATCTAATTTCAAGTATTAATTTAAATTGGGACTCTCTTGTGAGCTTTCATTCCATGCCTGAATCAAAAGCTTCTTTTCTTATTAGACTTGGTTTGCCTTCCTGTCTCCTAAATAATTTATTGTCCTTGAAAATAAAATGGTAAATGAGTACCATATCCAGAAAGGAAAACATAGTGCAGTGATCAACAGTGCAGCACCTGGAGTGATCATTTCAAAGACTCACATAAATGTTTATTTGATTTATATCCCCACCCTTGAAAAGCTCCAAGCCCCCCCACTTTCCTTTAGAAGCTTTCAAACAGCATACTTAACTATGTTTCCTCACAACGATCCTGTGAGGAAGGTTGGGCCTGTAGTATTCCTGTGAGCTTCCATGGCTGAGAGGGGATTAAAAACTGAATCTCTCTGCTTCTAGACACTGTCCATTAACTGGCTGAATTTCATGAAAGTTATAATTCAAATATGTAGTTAATCTTATGTTTCCTAAGTCTTCAGATCGAAGTTTTTAGTTTTACATGTCAAAATTGTAATTTTTAATTTTTAAAATGAATTCAAAATTATTTTGAATTCATTTTGCTTTGCTATTTTTGCAGATTATTCATTATCATTATCACCTTAAAAACTATAGTGAATTTTGTCAGGGCAGCCATCAGAATTCAAAGTAATATGGCATAAAATTGCATTGATAAGAATTGCATTGATGAGAAATGCCTCTCTAGAGCAAATTAAAACTTATTCAGTTAGTATTGTTTTTCTTTTCCTGACTAGAATAATTGTATGTTCTGTAACTATGTTCTGTAGGAACTGTCAAATTAAGGCTACTTCTGTCTTTCTTCAGTGGCCATGTAGGATGGGGGTTCCTTCTGTGGACATAAATTTACCTGCTGTTTATTAGTTGCTTGCAACTTATTTTCAGTGCTGCTGAAAATACTCTGCATTAATATCATTTTGAATTAATGGTTTGTTGGGATTTGACCCTTTAAAAAAATAACCTGTCTTTGAGAAAGGGGCAAAGATAATTATTTCTTCTTGACATTTCATCATATATTTATGTTATATTTTATTAATTTGTCTTTCTTTTTTATGAAATAAATAATTGGTTGTTTGGGGCTCTAGTGTCAAAGACTTAAGAAGAGATATTTTGCTTGTGTATGCATATTTCATGGCTAGTCTCTATATTAATTTGCCATTTTTTGATAAACCATTTGTTTAGGTTTTGGAACAAAAACAAACCCCAGCTGGCACAGACAAACATGTACAGGCATTAATAATTCTTTTCGCCATCCAGTGTTATGACATATGGGACATCTCTGGACTGGGAGTTGTCAAAGTCCCTTCTGGGGTGGAAAATTCTAAAACTGTCCCTACTTTCAATAGAACTGGAAAGCACTATGTTGATACACAACATATGGCCAATCCAGCTTCATCAAAGAACATCTGTATTTGATTATTGGACCTCAGCAATGCTTGATAATTCATTAAAGAGCGGATCCAGCCTTGGAGATGCACGTTAAAATGCTGATTGACAATAAACAGGAAAGAATTTTGTCTTGAAAATAAACCTACATATTTAGCTGATTCATTTTTAATGTACTTTTATTATAGTCCAGTGCAGGTCAGAGAACTAAAGATTATAAAATGAAGATAACTAGTAACCGCAAAACAAAGAACATATTTCATCCGCAAAACTTTTGTCACAAATGCAGGCTGCCTTATATTGCTGCAAATGTACATTTGGGACCATACAGGCTTTTAATAGTCAACAAAATATTCATTTCAAGCCTTTCTAAAGAAGTATCCCGTCTGGAAAACACAGGACTATAAACTGTGCTACCAGGCATCTTGATAGTCTAGAAAATGGTTTACGAGGATATGAGAGTCTACCAGGAAGGAAGAAGTAATCAGACTTCATTGTGCAAACAGGATTCAGTTTGCATTGTTCTAGATTTAGGCCTTAGTTATTATATATATACTTGGATTTTTTCTCTATGCCAGCTCAAGCATAGCTTGTAATGAGTTGATGGGAAATTGCTCATCTTGATGTATGGACTGGCATATTATAGATACCTTTACTACTTCAGCTCTATGGAAATAGATTGGCTTAGTTAATTTCTACTTTCCAAATATCTATATTACATTATAATTTAGGAAAAATTACAAGGAAAGACATGTTTATACTTTGTCAAGGTAATAATTTAAAGGCTAACCAGCTGATGTAATGTAAAATGGATGATTCAATGATAGGAATGACTCAGCAGAGTCTGTGTCTGTGTCCCTTTAAGAGTAAGCATCCCTGTATCCCTTTAAGGGTGTGAGTATAAAAGGGAAGTTTTTGGCTGGAGTCTTTTTCTCTCTCTTGTCCATTCTTTTCTGTAATTGCTGTATATTGGAATTTGCTATTTCACCACATGTATGTATTTTATTTCTAGTGTATATTTGTAGATATAGTGTAATATAAGCCACATTTAATTACAAACCACTTTTTACTGTATTTACTCCTGGGTTACTTCAGCGCAATAAGACTGTGCATGCTCTGACATACTCCTACATTCTTATTCAGATAAGCTCTGAGACCAGCTCTGGGAAAAACTTTACTGGAAATACTTGCAGTTTATCAGTAGTTATTTAACCCTTTATCTCAGTAAATGAACACTTTGGCTAATGGAACATAATGTTGAATATATTCCGTCCCATTTGGAGAAAAAGCTAAGTTTTGTACACATTTCTTTTCCAGACCATGATTCAAATACATGGGGATATTGGAAAGTGAGAGGGGGGGGGAGGGAAGAAATTTGAAGACCACATAACTAGATTGACTATGTATCATCACATTCTTATCACCTTTTAGTGACCACATAGATAGTCTTTCTGTATGATGATCTGTTCTTCAGTTCTTCCAACAATGCAATCATCATTCCTGTAAGTGGATCCATTCACCTTCTTGCTGGTTGTCCTCTCCTCTTTCCCTCTTCCTGTCCCAGCATTAGAGCTTTCTCCAGAGACTGCTTATAATCTTGATATTACTTTATTGAGCCTCGTGTTTTCTATAGCATCCTCCATGAAAATATTTAACACATTTTTGTAAAACTTTACTAGTAGATTCATTTCTTACTGTTTTTTATATTTTAATGTATGTTACTGTGCTTTATATTACTTTTCAGTGCAAGTGGTCCAGGAAAGGATTCATACGAACAAGATGGTGTATTACTGACTGGTACGTAATATGAAGGAGAATTGAACATCATGTTTTGCATGCATGCCTAGTTATTATGGAAGGCATAAGTTTTTGAACAGCTGGTGCATATTCCATTTAATGCTGAATCAATCTTTAGGCATTTTTCATTATTGAACAAGTTGTAAATGGCATAATATACATATTTGGTTTAGAGTTTCTATATAATTTCCAGGTAAATCATAGGAGATTATTTTGACTACTTCCCCTTAGTCTTGTCTCATTATGTTTTGTCCATTATGAAGCTGGGAATCAATAGACAAAACCTTTGTTGCCTATCCCTTTTGGGGGAACTTGGAATAGAGAAAATATTAGAGCTAGGCCTAAAATCAACATTTTCATCTTGGTTTCAACACCCTAAAAAACACATAAGCCTTTTTCAGAATCTGGTTAATATTACAAGGGCTCCCTTGGGAAAGACTTTTACATTCCTTTGCTTAGAGACTTACTGGTATATCTTGAAGAAAAAGTTGAAAGCATTTCTGTCTTGGTCTCGGTCTCTATAATGCCAACCAAGTAGAGGACATTATTCTCTGGGTTCCCCACTGTTCTGTTTACAATGAAATTTGGGGCAAATTATTGATGGTAGGTGAATTCCCAAAGCACTCAGTTGGCTTTGTACTTAAGGTGGGAGTAAAACTCACAGCCTGATGCCTTAACCACTACTATATGCCAATTCTCTTTCCATCATTCAAATTCTGAAATAATTTTTTAATTGACTTGATCTCATTTTGACATTTTTTGTATCTAACACTTTATTACTTTATGTTATCATATTTTATGTTAGGTTATACTGTTATGACATATGGTTAACTTATGAAGGCTAGTACTTAAATGAAAATCAATATTGCCACATTGTTTTCTAGATATAACTTGTATGTTAATTTCTTAATTTTTCTAGATATTGAAAACATTTACTTTCTGGGAAAAGTTGAGGCAAAAGGATATAATTGGTATTTTAATTAGACCCCCGCAATATATTATATTATATTATCTTAGAGAGAAAATATGTAGATTTAAATTTCTGAAGCAATTGTTGCATATACTGTACTTCTAGGAATGCAATACATAATTTAGGTATATCAGAATCCTGACATTTTTGAGGTTTTTCAAGTGAGAAGCAGATTTTAGATAATAATTAAATCTCCTCCCACATTCCTAAGTTATCTTACATTAATTTATATCAGTTCTTTCCAACTGATATTTAGCTACATTTTAAAAAAATAACCAAGCAAAATTATTTTTGGTTTGCTCTTCTTTATTGAAATTTTATTAAGGATTACTATTGTATGCTTTATAAAATATAAACTTTAAAAAAGAATAGAAAAAAATAGTGCAGAATAGGGGGGAAAGAAAAGAGAAAAGAAAAAATAAGAATATAGTAAGGAAAACTAAAGGTAACTTATAAAGAAATTACTTCTTCCTTCATCACAAGTATAAATAATTTTAGTAACTAATCACCTTCTCTTAAAATACAACAAATAATGTCTTCTTCCCATATCTCATTTCTTATCTATAAATTAATCTTTAAAGCTTCATCATCCAGTCCTGGCCAGCAAAAATCCCTTCTTATCAGAGATAACAGCACACCTATTTTAACTTTATCAAATAATCCAACTTCATATTCTTTCCTTTTAAACATTTGTTCCCTTCAAATAATATCCTAGATTTTGATTTCTTTTCATTTTTCTTTGTTCTTTCTCACAAAATTCTTCAAAACTTTAATAAGATTCTTTTATAAATCCAATATAGGAGAGTTGGTTAGGTCATTCTCTTAGTTTGTTATTTGTATATCCCTTTTAATTATTATTAGTCAGTTTCTTTTATGCCCGTGTAGCATTTTTCCCATATTTTATTTGTTTGTATCCCACTTTTATTAACAGAATAACAGAGTTGGAAGGGACCAAATCCAACCCCTTGTTCAAGCAGGAGACTGTATATCATTTAGGTAATATCTTCAGAGCTAGAAGAAAGTGGGCTTTGCTTCCAGCACTGATGATGTTTCCTAGTTTTGGTAATGAAACATCTGTAAGAAAACAACCAAGCTCAGACAGCACCAAAGTCGCCTCACTGAAAAGACCTTTGTAAAGATGATGATAGAACAATAATGAAGGACAGATATCCAGTCACCAATTACATTTTGGATAATTAATTTATGTCTTTCACTATGAAAAGTGAAAAAGAGTTATTTTAACAAATAACTCAAGGCAGCGAATATAGCCAACATACCTTCCTCCTCCTATTTCCCACACAACAATCCTGTGAGGTAGGTTGGACTGAGAGAGAGTGACTGGCCCAAAGTCACCCAGTTGGCTTTCATGGCTAAGGCAGGACTTGAACTCACAGTCTCTACTTCCTAGCCTTGTGTCTTAACCACTAGACCAAACTGGCTCTCTTATATCATTCCCAGTCTGTCATTTTTAAATCATCAGTCTTATCCAATAAAACTTGTTCCTTCTCCATACAATCTTTTAAACAGTCTATGTACAATAGCAGATATTTTTTAAAATTAATTTCTGATCCATTCAAAAATATCCTTCAATACATCCAGTGTTAAAATATTTTGCTCCATTTTGTATAGTGTATATTTGTAGATATAGTGTAATATAAGCCACATTTAATTACAAACCACTTTTTACTGTATTTACTCCTGGGTTACTTCAGCGCAATAAGACTGTGCATGCTCTGACATACTCCTACATTCTTATTCAGATAAGCTCTGAGACCAGCTCTGGGAAAAACTTTACTGGAAATACTTGCAGTTTATCAGTAGTTATTTAACCCTTTATCTCAGTAAATGAACACTTTGGCTAATGGAACATAATGTTGAATATATTCCGTCCCATTTGGAGAAAAAGCTAAGTTTTGTACACATTTCTTTTCCAGACCATGATTCAGATACATGGGGATATTGGAAAGCGGGGGGGGGGGAGGGAAGAAATTTCTAAACTTTGTTTTCAAGTTCACAAGTAAGAACTGCAAGATGAGTACAACAGGGCCTTTTCTGTATAGTTCCACTTTCATGAAATTACTTTCCAACACCAAGAGTCCTAGGTTCTGTTTTGTGAATTCTTAAACACTGATTTGTTCTACTTTGTATTTGGCTATTTTTATGTGCCATGCTCTTTTATTTTACTAGCTGCTTTTACAATATATGTAGTATATTGATATTTTAAAAGATTCTTATGTGTTCTGAGACTAAGTTTTTTTCCCCTTTCATCACAGTGCCTTTGACTTGGTAAACATTCACCTTTTCCATGATGCTTCCAATTTAGTTGCTTGGGAAACCAGCCCATCTGTTTACTCAGGAATAAGGCATAAGGCCCTTAGTTATGTACTTGACAGGTAAGTAATGAAGAACATTTGGGGAAAAGAAATGTGGATGTTAGAATATTACATTGTCCTTTGATTTGATTGCTCCTCATCTGGCAAAGGATTCTTGTATAATGTATTGATTGGTGTGCTTCAGCCACATGGTTATTCAAAATTTATGAATTGTCTTCTTCCCACACTCCCCGTCTTAAAAATGGAACTTCATAAGGTTTTTGCTTTCTTTCTTGCTTTGTTTTAATTAGTCTAAGATAAAAGTATTTTGACTTTAATCTTATTATCTGTGTGGGCCACTAGTCCCTGTAGTTTATCAATGTGTGCCAAATGTACTGAAAAACATTTGGTGTCCCTTTAGAATTCAGGCATAACTAATCTGGGTAACATGATTGTGAATCTACTTTTTGTGCCTATTGTTTGGTGGATAAGATTAAGCTCTACCTGGGCCAGCATTCTTTGTAGTGATCCTAGCAACTGGCAGATAGTAGGTGGTCTAATAAAATGTAATTAACCCATTATCCCACTCTATCAAATAACATGCAGTTATGTTCATAAACTTCAAGCGGAATGAATTAGTTTTTCATGTGGGAATTATTTCCATCTCTTTTGATTATGATAGTGTTCCAAGGGAACATTTGTATGCTACTGTGATTTGCTGTTTGTTTTCCTTTAATGTTGTAGGGCTTTGGAATGCTTCCACAAACGTCTTGGCCAAAGTAAGGAAATTGCTCAGTTGCAATAGCATCAATTGTAGGTCAAATAAGTCATGGCAGTATATCATTACGATGTGACACTGCCAAACCCAGACTTGGCTCTCCTGCCTTTCACAAAAGAAAATCTTCACTTTTAGGTGGCAATATCACTGTAGGTTTGCATTCATATAGATTGCTCATTTTGAGAAAGCAGCCAGCCGCAGATCCGGACCTCCGTAGTGAAACGGTGGGCTTCTCAGCACAAAAGGGACTTCTGTAAGAGCAGTGAATAATGGGAAACCCCTTTCATCAGGACTGCTAACCTTTTGGCAGCCACCAGCAAACTCTATTCTGATCTGCTGATGGGGGAGGACAATACACTGAAGCTCATTTTGAATGAATGCTACCACCAACAGTGCCCCCATTCAGAAGGTTTTGGGAACCATCTTGGACTATTGTCTGTCATCACTCCTTCAGACAGTAGAAAAGGGGAAAGTAAGAGCATCTATAGGAAAGAAAGTCGTTCTTTTCTTGCCTTTTAATCTCCCTTTAAGGATTCATAGATCTACATTTCCAGCTGAGCTACAGGAGTTAGGCAGTGTCAGATAAAGACAGAAGAAAGAAATTTCAAGCTGGGCCTTGAAATCCCCTTATCTGCATCCTCTAATGATGCAGATTTAGTGCTGTTAAAACCAGAGGCTGATAAGTCTTTTTCTCAATAGCCTTTAAACTGCTAAAGAGCATTTAAGAGCAAATGCAGTTCAGGTTTCAGGAACAATGCTAAAAAGGAAAAGCGTTTAATGAGCTAACCTCACTGAATGAAACTGAAACATCTTTTCACATTTGATTTAAGTTGCTGTGGGAGTAAGTGAAACAGTTCCATCAGCTGGATGCATCTTGGGCTGTGAATCCCAATTAATTAGTCAGGTTATGCAAGATTGAACTGAGCATCATAGACTGTGTTCTGTCTTAATTATTTGGAAGAAAAGTAAATTGAGAGGGTTTTTTAGAGAACGAGTTTAAGTTTAAAAAATACATATTCAAAAATCGTATATAGTTCTGTAGCATTGTAGTTAAGTAAAGCATTATTGAAAAGATTAAAAATTATCAAAAGAAAAATGAAGCAAATCTATAGCATGCTTTGATTTTTATTAAGGTTGTTTAAAACTGTTTTCTTAGCTGTTCATCAATGACATTCAGATTTTTTGAGAGTAACCTTATAAACTTTTGTTGCATTTAGAGACATTGCAGTAACTTATAGCAAGACTTGCTTTGAGGCCAGTAGTTTCTTTGAAAACCATTTTTGTTACAAGCCCTATATTTAATGTTCCTAATAAATATTTAATTGATAAATCTTGTGCCTTTCAAGATAGAACTACCCTGTAATTGAAGTTGCATAGTTACTGCTACTAAGCAGATCATATTGATAGAGAGGAGAGAAACACAAGAAATGTTTAAAATAAGGAATTGAATAAGCAGGTCTTCAATCAAAATTACAGTAATAGTGTGGAAGAGGAGTAATTACACACAACTATGCTTAATATGCCAATTCTAAAATCAAAATTTATCCCAATAGTCTTCTTACTCCCATCCCCTCAAATGACATAGATCTTCTGTTGTCTCTTCAAAACATAGCTTGGCCTAGTTGAACAGAAACATTTTTTTTACATTACAACTGTGAAATCTTGGCATAAAGGCTCTTTTTGTGATCCTCATTATTTTCTCACAAATATAGTCCATTGTCACATAGCTGAAGTTAATTTGATCAACATTGGGACATTTAACTTTTATGTTCAGTCAAAAGAGCTGTTTCATGCTTATTTTGAGTATTCAAAAGAAATGATTGCCGGAAAAATAATGTTACTATTAACAATTCAAAGCAATTAGTTTTCCCAGGGTGAGGCAATGTGATGCACAGCCTGCACAGAGCAATGCTTTGTCATTTTATAGATGCTCATCAGTCAACTGTCACATCTTCTCAAAGACCCCTCTACTCTAAACGTTTCTTTTTGGGCTTTTCCCAGAACTAGCAAGTAAATGAGCTGAAAAAAAGCTACTTTGTTTCTAGGCAGAGGCAAACCTTGTGTGAATGATCCAGATCACTGGAAAAATCTGAGCACTTTGCGTATTTGTAAATACTACTTTACTCTTGTTATTTAAACATAGTTTTTTTTCCAGTAATAAAACACTGTTGACAGGGATTATAAAAAATAACTACATTTTAATTTTAAACCAGCTGAATCTATAACTATTGTGAACATTAAAATAGGTGGATGAATAGATAGATAGATAGATAGATAGATAGATAGATAGATAGATAGATAGATAGATAGATAGATAGATAGATAGACAGACAGACCAACTCTTTTCTTTATGGAAAAAAAGGAGTGATCTTATACTAAAATTGTATGTGAGTACAGTTGCATCTATGTTGTGAGGGAAGATGGATTATGACTCCCAGACTCTCTCTAATTTCTGACATTCCTTGTGTGGAAAATCCTATCTTCTGCAGCTTTTCCCAAACTAGGTACAAATTTGTATACTCATAAATTGCAAATGCATGTAATATTAACATGTTTACATATTTCTTAAAATATAGAAACTAGAAAATATAAAAATCATTCCTTCTAGTTATTTTTGACTCCTAGCAATGTTTTCCTGCAGTTTTCATAAACTAGTTTGCCATTGCCTATTTCCTAATGCTGAGATAGAATGACCGATCCAAGGACATTTACTTCTCTTCCTACTTAATTGTGTTAAATAGTCTTTAAATTAGAACACCATTTTTGCATAGTTTATAAAATTGAAGATTATTGGTTTTTAGTTCAGTTTGAACTGGAGATTCAGCGTTGAAGTTATTAGAATTATGGTTAATAAAGAACCATACATTCCAAATATTCCACATCTGACCTGTCCAGTTACTGGATATAATTGCTTGTCTGTTCTCTTTTAAATCTAATGCTTCTTACAAACCTATGAACTGTAGATTTTGATCTAAAGCCAGGATGTTGTATTACAATTCACATTTATAACAGCTTTGCCCATTACAATAGTAGTAGTGCTTTATTGTAGCAGAATTGACAAGTACTTATACACATCTAACATTGCATTAGTTTAAATGTCAATGTCAGGTAAGATCATGGTTTTGTCAATAGAGGGAAAAACCATTCTAAATAAACAGAGCCATTTTTCCAGCTCTAAAAATTTATTTTTATAGCTCTTGTAATCCTTTCCCTAAATTAAATACATATTATTGATGTGGTCTTTCTTGCCATCTTAATATCTGCTGACATGATAATTGATTTTAAAAATATTGCTCTTTTGGTGTTGTTCATGGGACTCGATAATGAAATTAAAAGTGAACTCACATATTAGTTAAATGATTCTGGCAAATGCCCTAAGTAATAAGAAGATTACCTAAGACTCTTGACAACACCTTTTATCTTGTTTGTTGCATGACATTTTGAAATGTTTTTGTATTATTAATAGGTTTGGCTATTATATCAAAAAGCAAAAAGGTTCAAAAATATGATAAAGTTAAGCTTTTTAATGTCAGCATTACAATATATGAAGCATGCTGGTGAAAACACTTATATTAGGTCTTTTTTTTTTTTGTTACTCTAACTAAGCTGACATTATTTAACTTTTCCCCCAAATGTGTTAAGTGCCCCATTTCCTGGATATACTGACATCTATAGATTATAATTTTCTTATCTGTTGTACATATTTAATTTTCTTTGTATTGTGCTTGTAATTTGGATTTACCGTATATGCCGGCATATTAGGCGACCCGGCGTATAAGACGACCCCCGTCTTTATAGCCGGGCCGCATTCCTAGAACGTCGTCTTATACGCCGGAAACTACCAGTATTTCTGGCGTATAAGACGACTCGGCGTATAAGACGACCCCCGTCTTTGGCGCCGATTTCAGCGCTCGCGGAAGTCGTCTTATACGCCGGCATTTACGGTAATTGATTTTATGATTGCCCGCAAACCAGAGTCACTTGTTTCTTATGGGTGGCCATATAAATTGAAAAAAATAAAACAACTTTTTTTTAAAAAAAAACAAAATTCTCCCAAGATAAGTTATGGAGTGCTTAGCAACAAATGGAATTGTTCAAAAGGAACAAATCCATTTGTTGGTAAGTGAATAGTCTAACATTAAGGAGCATCCGAAGATTCTTTATTTAATCCAGGGTCCTGTTTCCCTTAGTGGCTGGTTAATAATAATTAGCTACTATTGGTATACATGCAAGCATGACAGAAAACCAATTCCTTATTTTGCTGTTATTGATGTTCTTTTGTTTTGCTGGGTTTATTTCTGTG